ATAAAAAAAAAATCAACAACACACTTACTATCATTAATTACTGCTATATTCGGATCGCATGTTGCCTTTTATAAAACACTCACAGTGGAACTAAAGCAAAATATCAACATTTACCTCATAGTTTGATAGCTTATAAGAAAATAATAATAATGATAATAATAATAATAATAATAATAATAATAATAATAATAATAATAAAATGAACTCCATTTAGCATTAACTTCTTCCATTATATTGACAAATCTCATGCTGCACCATGACTCATTATCTCATCCAGTGCTGAAACATTTTCAATGATTTTCAATGTAAACCCCACAGGAGACAGCCGCTCATATGAAACTGTCTCTTGTAAGCAAAAACACGCTCGTCAGAAAATGCTGTCCACGTATTACGATATGTCATCCTGCTGCTACTGTAGCTAACCAGTTGGACAAAGTAGCACGTGTTAATTATTGTGTTTCGAAATTGATAGATTTCTCAATAATCTGATTTCATTTGTACGTACATAAAAAATAATAAATATGATATGATAAATGGGGCACACAGTGGCTTAGCACATTCGCCTCACACCTCCAGGGTCAGGGGTTCGATTCCCACCATGGCCCTGTGTGTGCGGAGTTTGCATCTTCTCCATGCGGGGTTTCCTCCGGGTACTCCGGTTTCCTCCCCCAGTCCAAAGATATGATGGTATAATTGACGTGTCTAAAGTGTCCGTAGTGTATGAATGGGTGTGTGAGTGTGTATGTGATTGTGCCCCGCAATGGATTGGAACCCTGTCCAGGTTGTACCCCGCCTTGTGCCCGATGCTCCCTGGGATAGGCTCCAGGTTCACCATAACCCTGGAAAGGATAAGTGGTATGGAAGATGGATGGATGGATGGATGGATGGATATGATAAACAAACCGTTCATTTAAATTTTTTTTATATATATATAGAATTTCTAGAAAAGGTCAATGTGTGCTGAATCATGTACAGTGCTGTAGACGTTGTACAGCATCGAGAATAATGTTCTAATAACATCCAAAACACCTAGGGACTGTGCTTGAGACCACCTGCTAAGCAGTCAGCATAAACTGTGGTATAAAAGCCGCTGTAAATGGACCATCCTTCCATTTTCACACAAAGCTCAGGACTAAAAGAGGAAACGCATGCTCAGTAATGAAAAGATAAATGTGTTAATAAAGAAGACTCTTGTGCCAGAACACATAAAGGGTTTGGAGGGCATTAATGGGTTATGGATGATATGCCAATAGATCCTTGGCTGGTTTACTGTTGTGTACAAAATAATATATGTTATAAAAGCGTGTAATTAAACTGTATTTCATTTGTTTATGGTCGATTGTGGCTCGTATACAATCAGTCCTGTTTAGCGTGTGCTATAAACAGGAATCTAATGCATTTGTATGACCAGAATTGCTGTTACAAAAGTCTTCAAACGGTTTATATGTATTCGCTTGGGAGACACTTTTATCCAATTTAACTGAGTAAATGAGGGTTAAACGCTTTGTTTAAGGAACAGTGACAGTTTGAGGTACTCGGATTTGAAATCACAACTTTCTGATCAGTAGTCCTGTATCCTAACTACTGACTCACTTCTTGCCTTTCAGATTAGTATTAAGGCTATAAATAGGTGTAATATGGATATCGTGAAATGATTACGAGATAATCGGAGATGTTTTTAATAATTACAAATTAAATGGTACTGAATGGATGCCTTTAGATTAGATGTTTGATTGTTTTTTAAACACATCAACATTTGTCTTTGTAAAGAAAACTATTATCAAAATCAATTTAACGTTTTTTTTTTGTTAATTTTTTTGCTGTTTTGCGGACAGATTGTTAGCTAAATGATATATCGTGATATGTATTGTGTATCGTAGAAATGTCCTCAAGTATCATGATATGATATTTCTGTCATATCGCCCAGCCCTGGTTAGTGTATATATATATATATATATATATATATATATATATATATATATATATATATATATATATATATATATATATATATATATATATATATATGCTTCATTAAGCAACTTGCATACTAATGTACAAGTGGTTTAGGGAGGTAGACAAAATCATGAGCAAATCTGGCTGCCATGTTCAGTACATCAAATCAATTATGTAATGAATAGCACTTCCTATTTCTCCAACCATTTTTTGTAGACTTCCAACTCTTGGTGTGATTCACCCTCGAAAGCCTGTGCATAAGTAGGTGAAGCTTGCTGCCACATATATGGCATGTAAACTGTGCCCATAGACTTCACATATATAACTCGCAAGGCTATTTATAGAGAATGTGGTGTAATTGTGCCTAAATCAGTCATAGAGTCCCTTAATACGGACATGTTTCTGCATTAAATCTTTCTTGTATGTCCTTGTCCATGTCTTATTAAGATAACGACATGCAGTTTAATAAATGCTTATAGGTTTAAACCAAACCAAGATGACTAAATTAAACTGTTCAACACTGGGCTCAGATATAGATGGTTGTGTTTTATCCTCAAATACTCTGCATTCCCATATTTCTCGTACTTTCAAAGTGGAAATGACTGCAAGATGAAAGTACGAAAGCATAAAAAAGAAAGTTCTGAAAGGAAACCGGCTTTAAAATTCCTGGTATTTTTGCAAATGCTGCACAAAAAAGTGCTAATTTCACCCTTACTTAGAGCCTGAGGCTTCATATAGTGTAGCAGTGTAAAAAGTGTGTGTGAGTGTGCACTCAGGTAGAATTTGAAATCCAGCCACACACACACACCATCACAAACACACTTCATACACTTCACTGGAATTTAATAAAAGAAGCAAAGCTTGAATCGGCTACAAAGCAGGGCGCCATCTCTGTTTTGGAAGTTTTCTGTGTTGTAGCGGGCTTCAACTCAGAGCCCCAAGGCAACAACGCAGTAAAACATCATGCCCCCTCGCATCAATACACCATCAAAAAAGCCAGCAGCAGAACCCCAAACTCTGGCTTTTCCCTCTAAGTCTCTCTCACAGCTTTGATCAGAAGGAAAAAAGAGCATTTCAGCCCTCCACTTGTCCGACTTATCAGGAATCAAAGTTCAGCTTTTGCCTTCCACAGCATGAACCCCGGGTTGCCAACGCTCATGCTTCTCATGCTTCAGGCTCTGTCTCACGCTCTCACGCTGCCCAAGTAAATCTCACGGCGAATTAAAAAAGCCAACATGCTGCACAGACCGCTTGGCGTATGACGTCAAGAATCGCGAGAGCGATTCGAAAGCGGTGGTTTCGAGATGTTTAGGCGGAAAACGTAAGTATTTGTGCACACAAAGCGGATTTACACGTCTAAGACAACGTTAATGCATTCATTCATTAATTACTGAAAATGCAGCCTGCGTCAGCCAGTTGTACTGCGTTTTGCGTTGTGATCATTACCATTGCAGATGAGTATTCTAAAGATTATTTAAGAAGAGACAGGGTAAAGACACAGGTGAAGACACGGACAGTACTTTAATTAAAAGTAGTGAAGAGCAAAGACAAGGGCATGGTCATGATAAGGAAGAGAAAGTTAAATGGAGGAAAGTGAAAAATGACAATCAGGAAAGAGAGGAAAGAAATGAAGATGGTGCTGGAGAAAAAACCAAGGATTGATTGGACAAAAGGCCCTCTGAGGTAATATAATGTAGATAGTGAACTAGCACGCTATTTCGATTAACGTTTAAACGTTATAAAACGTATCAACGTTTTTTTAAGCATATTTTTAAGTAGCATTCATGTATTGATCTAAATTTCTTTCTCTCTCTCTCTCTCTCTCTCTCTCTCTCTGAAGAATGTAAGTAAAGAAAGATCTGATCTATGTTTCTGTTTAGTCCCTAAAAACAAAGACTGAATAAGCGCCACGAATATATATACTATTTCATTGTTGGTGCAGTGTGGAGACACGAACTTGAATGTAAACACAGAGGCAGAACAGATGTGCAGCGCCATGTTAACAGGGAGTCGCATCTGAAAAAGTACAAACTGTGGAGAGTTGTTCAAAACTCGTCAAGTACACCTTTCCAAGAACAGGTGAAAAGGCCCAGCTGGAGGCACAGGTGATCAGAGAACTGTTTAGGAATGCAATTTTTACTGTTCTTATGTGTGTGTGTGTGTGTGTGTGTGTGTGTGTGTGTGTGTGTGTGTGTGTGTTCCATTGTGGGGACCAAATCTCACCACTAAGATCGTTTTATTTATTTATTTTTTAATGTAAAAGCGCAGAAAGTATTCTGGGAGGGTTTGGTTTAGAGGACAGAATATTAGAGTAGTCATTAAAGGATGGGAAAAGGATGGAATAGTGATTATGTCTATGGAACGTCCCCATAAAACATGAAAACCCAATGTGTGTGTGTGTGTGTGTGTGTGTGTTGTGCACGCTTAGGTTAAGCATATGTATTTTGTTTGTGCACAGACCAGAAGAGCTGATGTTGCAACACAACATACCTCTGGCATTCTCTGACCACTACTCTGAGCCCACTCCTCAAAGAGTGTTTCCCTGACTCACAGATTGCCCAAAGATCTTCTTCTGACAGGACCAAGATTAGCACTAAAATCAACAATTGTATAGCCCCATAGCTTATGAATGAACTAGTGAAGAACCTCTGCAATCAGTCCTTTACATTAGCATCTGATGGGTCCAACGATACTGGTGTGTTTGTACATGTTGAACAGTTGATTGCTGAGTGCTAACGTCTACGTACAATTGAGTAATAGATCATATATATTATTAATATTAGCTATAATTTAAAACAATTTTGAGTTAATGCTAAATGTTGCGCCAAGTTGCCAAAAAATGCTGCCATTATGTTTTCGTTTTTTTAAACAGGAAGACAGAACATGGATCCAATAACTGTGTAAAACTGTGGAGTTCTGAAGGTGTGGTTCACAGATTTCTGGATACGGGCCTAACTACAGGAACCAACTGTTGCGCTGCAGAAGCCATATTTAATAAAAATGCATGAGGTCCTGCAAGGTTACAACATTCCATGGTCCAACAATGGCAGCTTGACGTTTGAACTCACGACCCTCTGAGCAGTAACCAACACTGTAACCACTGAGCTACCACTGCCCTATATACATATACAACTGAATGCTTTTTACACAGAATTTTTATGTGTTTTGTGACACAAAATCCATGGAGGTACTGCAGCATTTGGGGGTCAGGTGGCTCAGTTTGGACCTAGCTGTGAATCATATACTCCATCTTTACAATGCCCTAATGAGCGAATATACATCCTCAGGTTTGTTAAAGTTCCTTTTATTGTTTGCATTAATAATGAAAATTGTGTACAGAAGGACTATAGCTGATGTGTGTAGCTTTTAAACTGTTGTGATAAAAGACTTCTCCAATCCTAGTTTATAGAGCACTATAAGTAAGCCATTTGCAGGTTAATTTTCTGAAACAGTAAACATCTCTGTAATCTCTGTAGCACTAAAAAAAAAAAAAAAAAAAAAAAAAAGAAATGCATATTTTTACAATTTTATATAGAGAAGCTGGTGATGCTGTTACATGCATCGCTTAATTAATCTTAACTTGTTTTGTAGATGAAAGGCAGGCCAGATTTGTGCGGCTCCATGCTCGTTTGAGGAGCCAGTGAAGTTCATCTCCTCTGTTATGAAGCACTTCTACCTACATTTATCGAGTTCCATCTGCTATTCCAAAGACAATACCCGTGTCTCCATCTCCTTCATGATTTCAGTTAATGTATTTCTTATGTCAGTTTATCGGTTTGTGCGTTGGTTTTATTGAGGTAAGTATCTTAGATGTCAAAGTTCCTGAAGCCTGCTGCTTTCACAAAGACAAGTTTAGAGACCGTTGACGTTCTAGGTCAGGAAAACCAACTGCCAGGTGAGTAAAAGTGACTAGATTGTTAAGGTTTTTTTTTTAATGAATGAACGAATGAATTGAATGAAAACTATAATGACTTTTTCATTTGTAGTGAGGGCAGCATGCTGCTATGAGAGTATAAAATGGATTGTTCTCTTTGGCCTTTCAGACGTCCAGCTTGGCCTAGGACTGACTACAACGGCCACACTCAGAAAGCTGCATGAGGCTGGTGAGATTCCTTCCAGTGATGTTGGAAACTTCTACAATGCAGCAAGGGGTTTTCCTGGAGAGGCCTTGACAAAGCTACCACTCGATGACCTCTCACCTTCTGCCACATGCTCAATTTGTGGACTGGACACCAAATTAGATGATGCACCAATATTTCAAATAAACTATTAAATTAAGATCATCTAAGTGATTAGAAGTCATGTCCACCAGCTGCTTTAATGTCTGCTGTTTATTTTCTTGTTTGACTAAACAGACATTTTTTTATTTTTATCCAGATACAATCACCTCCTGTCATCTGATGATGCCAGAGAACAAGACCTCCTGTGTGAAGAGTTCTTGGATTTTTCAAATGTTAGAAGACACGGACATCCTGAAAATGGTCTGGATAACCTCCCCAGTTAAGGTGGATGGGTTAAAGGAATTCCACCGACACATGGGCACACTTGAGTGCCATGAAGAGCCGTTCAACAGGTGCACCCAGGTTCCAAAGACTTGCAAAAGTAGCACAGCTTGTGCTCTGCCTACTACATTCAAATGCAGATTCTGAGAGAACCTTCTCTGTGATAGGCCTCAACAAAACTGCGACAAGAAATAAACTGTCACTAGAGGCTACATTGTCCTCTGTAATGATCATAAAGATGACTGAGATGGAAACATCTCTACTACAAATATGATCCACCAGTACACATGATTAAAAACTTAAAATCTGCAGCCTTTGCATGCAACAAAGAACATTCAACAAAACAGACTTGTCAGAAAAAAAAATTCAATTTTAATCCAAAATAAAAGGATCGATTGCATATTTACATTGGCATTGCTTTCCTAACTATTATGATTTTACCACCTAATCCTATTTTTTTTTTTTTTGCACCCCTAAAAAGGTAATTGATTCATAAATCTCATTCCAGCCATGAAGCCAAAGTTGGCAACCCTGTGAACCACTGTGTGCGAAAAAAAAAACAACAACCCCGTGCTGTATCTGTATCCTTCAGTTTGAAGGTTATCTGTTTCACTCGTTAATATATCATTTGTTGCTGAGCTTTCTGTTAAATATTCTTATATTTATTCATTAGAGTTTTTTTTTTTATCCAAACTGACTGGGTGAAATCCAATCCGAGCAGCGAGTTGAGCAGATGAGGGTTAAAGGTCTTGTTCATTTACCCTTCAAACTCACAACCTTCCTGTCCAAAAGCGTAACCGCTGATCTAGCAATGCCCCTTCCTGAGCTGTATAACCTCGACTCGAGTGTACGCTGTTATGATTTTGGCATCTAACCATGGATCGTAGGTGGTTTTTGCAGTCTGTTTGCTCTACGACCGGCCATATGTATTCCTGCATCATTCTTATTGTGCATTTGAAATACTAATAAGTCAAGGTGACTAAGTTTTGCCGTTTTTTTTATTTTTTATTTTTTATTTATTTATTTGTTTTACCTTTTCTTTATGGAAACTTTGTGCAACTATTCATTCTTCTCCTTTAGTCCTTTAAGTGCATTATTTCTAAAGCAGTCACTTTTGCCTGTAAAATCTTAACTCTGTAACCTGAACCCGAAGAATTACGGTGAGAAATATTTGACACGTTTGTCTGATACCAAACTTGAGAGTTACATTAACCATCCAGGAAGAAAATATATAGAAACGTGATACTATTTAGACACCAGCTTAACTAGCTTAACCGGTCCATTCAGGATTTTGTGATCGATTCCCTACAGGTTTGGGCCAAAACGTGTCATGTGACATCATCTCAACACGCATTAGTGAAAGCCCTCTTCATGAGTACTTGAAGCTGGACATGAGTACAGCTAAAAAATCTCACTTTTCACCAACAAACTTCACTGTGAAAGACCAGCAAGTTCGAGCAAATAGCAATTTCACCAATTCAAGTAGCTTTCCACCAAAAAAAAGCACCAAAAACTCTGTAAGTCGTCTCACAAATAAAATAAAAAAGACGCCGCAAAATCAGGCATTTTGGGCCGCAACAATCACAAAACAACTCCTGCAGGGACTGACTCACTGAACAAACCAATCTGAGAACTGTCTGAGTGTGGCCTAATATTCTTAATGAGTACTCCCAGTAATACAATATGGATTGTCCATGCTTTCATTTATCGACCAACAACCAATTTTTGACTCATCCCAGTAAGCTACATTGATTTGTACAATATAGCAATGTATAGATGGATTTATTTTTACATAAAAAACTGCTGTGCTGATGTAAAAAATAAATAAATAAATAAATAAAATAAAATATATATATATATATATATATATATATATATTTATATATATATATATATATATATATATATATATATATATATATATATATATATTAGTTATAACTGCCCAGCTCATCATAGTTTAGTCTTAGGTGGAATTTGATCAAAACAGGAAGTGTCTGAGTTGGGGTATACTTGATGGATGAGATATATGTAATAGAATAAAACATAACAGGTGATGCTATTATAGGAAAATAGTCAACGACACAGTTGTATGTAAAGCAAAGTTGCTGTTGCCAACCCACCAAAAGTGATAACAGCACTTCCTTTGAAATGTTTTATTCCTCTTATACCACAGCACCATGCCAACACTAACATATATTTATTGATTTAAAAATGGAACACATTTAATCTTGTACAGCTCCATTTTAGCGTGGTGTAAATGAATTACTTATAAATGGATGTCCCGCACAAGCCACAATTTTAGTTTTCGCTTTCATTTTTTTTTATGATACAGAGAAACTGTAACGTGTAAGCTCTTCTGTCCTAAAGACTTGGTGGAAGTTACAACTTTACCGGACACTGTGGATTCCTCCCGAAAACTCCTTACAGAAAACTTTACCATATCAACAATTACACACATTTTTAATCTGTTTACATGGCACGAAGCGTCCACCATACAAGTCCTTATGCATTAGTGCTTACTATAGAAATGACAACGTATAAAAAGGAGCACATTAACATAAACCTTTCAGCTGGAACGAATGTCAGAGCGGCTGTTATAGAAATTTCTGCTCGGAAAACGAAGCCTACCTAGGCAATCTACTCCTATATCCATGACAACAATATAAAGTAAGTTGAAATCTGATGCATTATCCATACATGCCTAGTTTCCCCGGTGTGTACTTCATACTCCATTCTCCTGGTAAAATGGATAGATAGCATGTTAGATAACGTGATAAAGTGATCCTGCAGCACTGACACCAGCTTCCCTCTGTCTGTCTCTCTCTCTCTCTCTCGTGCATAGTAACACACTCTTCCCCCCAGGTGCAATAATGTCACACCCCATTAATCTGCTCAAACCCGGGGCCGTGATCCCGCACAGTCTGTCCGTACTAATCTCTTATTAATGTGCCAAATGAACCTTGAAAGAAAAGAACGACTCCCTAAGGCATGAGTGTACACTTACACCGCATCAACCCCACACACACACATACACACACACACACACACACACACACGCACGCACACCGCATCACTGCATGCATTAAGATGGGAAATTCATTAGAGCGGAAAATCAAATGGGAAATGATCACACTCAGTTGCACACACACACTACTGTACTCGTGAGGCTTTACACCGACACCGATGATACCGTAATGAAATCTCCCTAAAGGTAAAACTAATTTTAATCACTAAGAAGAATAAAACCATGTTTTTTGTTCTTTTATTGCTTCCAAACCTTCTATCTATGAAATAGCAAAAGGAGAATGTGCTCTCATGCGAACAGTGAGTGTGTTATTGCATTGCAGTGAATTGTTACTTCTCCTGTGATAATGTAATCAAATATTCCTAAAGCTACATGAAACGTAACCACTTATTTAGATTTTAGCAAAAAATCATTACACGGATAAAAAAAATAAAAAAAAAGTAAATGCAATATAAACCTGAGGGGATTAGCAAAAAGGTTTTTTATCAGGTTAGAACATTTATGAGGGAAATAAAGTTACACACACACGCACACTATGTATTACTGTAATGCCGAGGGTTTACATGGAGTCAGATTATACTGGAAT